GAGAAATATTTTGTAATGTCAATCAAGTTGCTTTCCTAGAGAGAAAAAGAAGTGAAAAGTAATTTGACAAGCAATTTAAATTCTCTATTAACACAAATGGTTTCATACATGTTAGTCTTTTTGTTCGCTTTTTTGACAGTATTAATCAAGAAATTTTCTTTTACCACATTAATATCGCGTTTCCTTTGGCAGAATCCAGAATGGGGCTTGGTTACTGAGTTATTAACGAAAAACACAGGACCAATCAGAGCGCTCGGTTGGCGCGAGCTCCAACACATATTGTGATGAATATCTCAAAAAATATTTTTGCAAGATTTGGCATTCCACAAATAGTTTGTTCTGATAGTGGTCTACAATTTAATAATCGCTTAATAAGAGAATTTGCAAAAGAATGGAATTTTAAGTATGAGACTTCTACATAGTCCTTGATGTCATATAATCTAATTATATAATAATATAATCAAATGGCATGGTTGAGCGCCATATTCAAACAATTAAAAGAATGTTGAAAAATGTAGAAGATAGAAAAGATCCAAACCTTGCGCTTTTATAGCATAGAAATCAGTCGACTAAATAGTCGATAGTATGATGCGATTAATTTCTACGTAGTCGATACTTTAAATTAATCGATAGTGCCCATCACTAGTCTGAACTTCGATACGCGCCAAAACAGTCATTCTGTGGGATTTTATGAATCTACCTTGCCAATTTTTATCCATTTGGACTCACTTTTCCTGCCGCACATTAACGCGAATGTTGCCACTCTATAGTAATCCTTTCTAGATGATAAAATGAAAGCTAAATTACAATATATTTCTTTTTATTCACTGTAGATTAGAGTCAATTACATTTGTACGTACACATTAGTTTGACACTTGCGTAATAGTTGAAGCACTTTAGTTTATAAATCAAACATTATATTTCCTTGTTTCTAACATTGATCAAACCGTTGTACTCCCTGTTTCCAGTGGTAATCATCATTGCTAGTGTGACGGTCTCCTTTAAAACACCTGCATGTATTTTGTTTCCCAAATAATTTATAAGATAACAACCGGATGTCGATCAGGCTACATAT